AGAAAGGAGGTGAGAAAGAGAAAGGAGGGGGAAGAGAAAGGAGGGGGGAAGAGAAAGGAGGGGGAGAGAAAGGAGGGGGGGAGAGAAAGGAGGGGGAAAAAAAGAGAAAGGAGAGGGGGGAGAGAGAGAAATTAGGAGGGGGGAAGAGAAATTAGGAGGGGGGAAGAGAAATTAGGAGGGGGGAGAGATATTAGGAGGAGGGAGAGATATTAGGAGGGGGGAAAGAGAAATTAGGGGGGGAGAGAAATAGAAATTAGGGGGGGAGAGAAATTGAAATTAGGACGGGGGAAGAGATATTAGGAGGGGGGTGAGAAAGAGAAATTGGGAGGAGGAGAAGGAAATTGGAGCGGGAGGAGAGATTGACATTCATCACATACACACAATGCACCCCTTGCACACAGAAAAACACACAATGCATTACACACACAGACACACATACACAAGCAATGCAACAGTTACACACAATGCATCCCTTACACACACAGAAACACACAATGCATTCATTACACACACTCAATGCATCCCATACATACACAGAAACACACCTTGCAGCCCTTACACATACAAACACAATTTCACACAATGCATTCCTTACACACATATCAGGACATCCCCTAAACACTCCACCGAAGGTGAACAAACTCATTGGTGGAGCATGAAGGTGGACCCTGGGACCCAGACCTTGAGCTGTGTAGAGGACCCCCAAAAAATGGAGCTGCTTCCCGTTCTCCCAGAACATTGATTTTTGTGACCACAGTTACAAACCGCCTCCAGAGAGCCTGTTCTGCACCAGACCAGTGGAGCCAGACTGCAGCTAGAGCCCATCATCATCCTCATCTGGTTGTAAGTAGGCAATCTAGGATATTATTGCGTGGCACTAAGCTCTAATTTACCTCACATTAAAGAAACACTATAGTCCCCAGAACCACTCTTAATGTAGTGGTTCTGGTGTCTATAGCCTGTCCCTGCAGGCCTTTTAATGTAAACACGGCGCACTGCAGCACTGGCGTTAGTTAACATGGCAAATCATATGGGTAGGGCATTGTGATGTCACATGGGGGGGCGGCAAACTTTACTTTTGCCTAGGGCGGCAAAAATCCTTGCACCGGCCCTGGCTGGAGGGGGCTGTGTGAGCTGTGGCCGCACAGTGTCCCATGGTAGTTAGGGTGCCGTGCGGCCAGTACAGCTCACACAAGCAAACAGCTGATAAACTGGCCGCACGGAGGAAATGTGTATGTGTGACTGTCTGCCTGTGACTGTGTGTGACTGTCTGCCTGTAAATGTGTGTGTGGGGCTGCAGGGATTTTGTAGAAGATGGCGGGGGTTTTGTATTGGGACAGGAGTCTTTACAAATTGTAAGAAAAAAAAAGAGAACCTTTAAAATTTTTTACAGGTTTTTTGGGGGGGGGGGGTGCCAAGCACAGGATCCGCCCCGGGTGCCAAATGCTCTAGGTACGCCCCTGGATCCACTATCAATCAGCAAGATTTCTGGCTCCCAGGTTTCTTTTATACAGGTAACAAACTGAGATTAGGAGCACTCTATTAAAGGGAGTGCTCCTTAATCTCAGCTTGTTACCTGTATAAAAGACACCTGTCCACAGAAGCAGTCAATCAGATTCCAAACTCTCCACCATGGCCAAGACTAAAGAGCTGTCCAAGGATGTCAGGGACAAGATTGTAGACCTACACAAGGCTGGAATGGGTTACAAGGCCATCGCCAAGCAGCTTGGCCAGAGCATAAGAAACAGGGTTGATTCTTCTAACCACACAAAAAGGACCAAGGAATCTCGGAGCAAACTTCATGCTGGGAACCTTCAACCTGATGTTGCGTGAGGGTAACCAAACCTGATCACCCACCTGGTAAACTGGATTGGCACTCCGCCGTTTATCCGCATGAAGCGAGCAGCCGCAGTTTCAAGAGCGGAGTGAACCTTAGTCCAGGTATCACGAATAGAGGTAAGGTGATCATCCAGATTAGGGATAGCAGTATCAGAAAACACAGCAGGGAGAAAAGCAATATGACGACCCGTATTGACAAAAAATGGACTATGCCCAGATGAGTCATGGGTAGCGTTATTTCTTGCAAATTCAGCCCAGGGCAATAATTCAGCCCAGTTAGACTGTGTATTATTCACAAAGCAACATAAATACAGCTCAAGTGATTGGTTAGCTCTTTAAGCCGTACCATTAGTTTGGGGATGGTAAGCAGAGGAAAATGACAATTCAATGCCAACTGTTTATTGAATGCCTTCCAGAACCTTGACACAAATTGGGAACCCCTGTCAGACACAACATTTTGAGGAATACCATGTAGCCTGACAATATCGCGTATAAATATGCGCACCAGGTCCTGAGATGATGGCAATTTTTTAAGTGGAGTAAAGTGTGCCATTTTGGAAAAACGGTCAACTACCATGAGGATAGTTGTATACCCATTGGAACTAGGCAGTTCAACAATGAAATCCATCAATAAATTAGACCATGGGATACTGGGTATAGGAAGTGGCTGTAACAATCCACATGGAAGTTTATGAGGAACCTTCGAAACAGCACAGACAGAGCAGGCTTCTACATAATCTTTCATATCCCTCCAGAGTGACTCCCACCAAAATGACCTGGAAATGGCGGATACAGCTTTATTAATACCCAGATGCCCAGCGGTCACATTGTCATGGAATACCTTCAGCACCTCTTTCCTGTCAGGAAATTGAATAGACAACTTATTTTTGGGTTTGTTGCAAGGTGCCTGGGGCTGAGCCGCCATGATAGGACGGAGCAAAGGGGATGATAAAGAAAGGACAGTGGATGCATCAATACAATCAGGAGAAATAATAGGGGATGTCTCTTGTTCTAGATCTGAATCATCGTCAAATTGCCTAGACAAGGCATCAGCGTTAACGTTCTTAGAACCGGGTCTGTAGGTGATAATGAAGTTAAAGCGAGACAAAAATAATGGCCATCTAGTTTGTCTAGAAGACAGTAGTTTGGCATCCCCAATATATGCCAGGTTCTTGTGATCAGTAATAATCAGAATGGGATCCTTGGAACCCTCCAAAAGATGTATCCATTCCTTAAGCGCTAGTATGATGGCTTACAGTTCTCTATTACCAATGTCATAGTTACGCTCGGCAGGAGACAACTTTCTGGAGAAGTAACCACAAGGATGCAAAGGGGCATCCTGACTCTCTCACTGAGAAAGAACAGCCCCGACCCCTATCTCGGAGGGGTCAACCTCAAGTAGGAAAGATTTACTAGTCTCAGAATGTCTTAATATGTCAGCAGATGCGAACATTTGTTTAACCCCTTCAGGACACATGACATGGTCCTTAAGGGGTTAAGAAGCTCAAAAGCCTTTTTAGCTTCTTTAGGCCATATAGTACAATTAGCCCCCTTGCTTGTCATATTGGTGATGGGGGCTATTAACGAAGAGAAATCTTTGATGAATCTCATGTAATAGTTAGAGAAAACAATAAACCTCTGTATGGCTTTTAACCTACTGGGTAATGACCATTGTAGAACAGCCTCTAGTTTGCGAGGATCCATTTGGAAACCAGAGGCAGAAATGTTATACCCCCAAAACTGAACCTCATGTTGCTCAAATACGCATTTCTCAAGTTTACAATGAAGACCATTTTTGAGCAAAGTTTGTAAAACTTGTTTGACATGATCATGATGAGTTTGGATGTCGGGGGAATAAATAAGGATATCATCCAGGTATACAAGCACAAAAGAGTAAATATAGTCTCTGAGTACATCAGTAATGATGTCTTGAAATACGTCCGGAGCATTACATAACCCGAAGGGCATAACAAGATATTCGTAGTACCCACTCCTAGTGCTAAACGCCGTCTTCCATTCATGATCCTCACTAATTCTCACCAAATTGTACGCACTCCTAAGGTCGAGCTTAGTGAAGATCTTAGCACCCTGGAGTCTATTAAACAATTCCGATGTAAGGGGAATGGGATAGGCATTTTTGATAGTAATCTTGTTTAATGCCCTGTAGTTTATGCAAGGTCATAATTCTCCATCTTTCTTAGCTACAAAAAAGAACTCTGCACCAGCAGGCGAGGATGATTTACGTATATGGCCTTTACTTATATATTCCTTGATGTACCGCTCCTTTAGGAGGCATAGCCCCGGGCAACAGATCAATGGAACAATCATAAGATCTGTGTGCAGGAAGAGCATTAGTCTGGCTTTTACTAAACGCCTCTCTAACCTCCCAATACTGTATGGGAATTTCGGGAGTTGGAGACGTAGCAGCGGGTAAAGCAACGATGCCCACTTTTTTTACAAATGGGTAACATGCAGCTTTCCTGTCAGTCTCTACCCCATTCCAGAATTTCCCCTCTAGTCTAGTCAATATGAGGGTTATGCTTGATGAGCCAAGGCAACCCTAATAGGATGGGACAAGAAGGGGAAGCCATTATCTGGAAATTAATGTCTTCCTTATGCAAAACTCCTAATGTAATCTCATCGCTGCAATACCCTTAGAGCATCTGGAAACGATCATGTTTTTTGTCAGACGTACCTGATACGTCTGCAGTCCTTATAGGGTTAATGATCTCAAAGCAGCCGGGCCCATAGTCACCAAGAAATCAACAGGTAACACACTACACCATGAAGGACTGAAAGCCTGCAGCGTCCGCAAGGTCCCCCTGTTTAAGAAAGCACATGTACAGGCCCATCTGAAGTTTGCCAGTGAACATCTGAATGATTCAGAGGAGAACTGGGTGATAGTGTTGTGGTCAGATGAGACCAAAATCGAGCTCTTTGGCCTCAACTCAACGCACCGTGTTTGGAGGAGGATGAATGACCAACACCATCCCCACCATCAAACATGGAGGTGGAAACATTATGCTTTGGGGGTATTTTTTTGCAAAGGGGACAAAACAACTGCACTGCATCAAAGGGACAATAGACTGGGCCATGTGCCATCAAATCTTGGGTGAGAACCTCCTTCCCTCAGCCAGGGCATTAAAAATGGGTCAAGGATGGGTATTCCAGCATGACAATGACCCAAAACACACAGCCAAGTCAACAAAGGAGTGGCTCAACAGGAAGCACATTAAGGTCCTGGAGTGGCCTAGCCAGTCTCCAAACCTTAATCCCATAGAAAATCTTTGGAGTGAGCTGAACGTTCGAGTTGCCAAACGTCAGCCTCGAAATCTTAATGACTTGGAGGGGATCTGCAAAGAGGAGTGGGACAAAATCCCTCCTGAGATGTGTGCAAACCTGGTGGCCAACTACAAGATACGTCTGACCTCTGTGATTGCCAACAAGGGTCTTGCCACCAAGTTGAAGGGGTCAAATACTTATTTCACTCATTGACATGCAAATCAATTCATAACTTTTTTGACATGTGTAAAATTATATACTAAAAATTACTTTGTCAGTGGGCAAACTTTCAAAATCAGCAGGGGATCAAATACTTTTTTCCCTCACTGTACACTTAACAAACCATATAAATCATCACTTGGAATTTTCAATTTTAGTATTTTTTTCCAACAAAATATATCAATAATTTTTAGTAGACTTTTTAAAAAAATACATCTACTAATTTTATTTCAAATTTAAGGAGTGTTTCAAGATTCCTAAGAGGACATTCGCTAAAACCTGTTAAAACATGTTAAATTGTTGCTCTTTGTAAAAGCTTCTTTTTTTTAATAATTAAAGACATAATTACTTGATGAAGTAAAATGCCGGAGGGAACAGGGAATCTGAAAGAATATTAAAGTGTTACTCCAACCAAAAATAGTGATTTAATAAAATACTGTTGTTGGTTGGAGTAGCCCTTGCTGATACAATCATTCCTTTTAACCCAAGAAAACAAGCAAAAATCCATCTGTAACCCCATACCAATGCCAAGTTCTCACTGCAGCCCGATCAGCCTTCCGTGATGTCACTCCCAGTCCCACTTACTCCCGGGGAGATGTCCTGGAGGAAGGACTGAGGGAGAAATTACGGCGGCATGAAGGGGTTAAGCCATGCCAACATTGGTAGTCAATTATAAGCATGCTGTGCCTGCTGACGGCAGATACCTTTCACGTACAGAATTGGCATTGGCATTGGCCGCTGAGAACTCTTGTTGTGGGCTTGCTAATGACACTGCCAGAGGTAGAGTTATAATTCAGGCAGTTGAATGCAAGTAAGATGGATAGTATGATTATAAAATAAAGCACAGAAATGCACAGTGGCGTAGCATGGGTTGTCAGCACCCAGGACAAGGCAAGTATTGTGGCCCCTAACCAGTGGACCATTAGCACTCCCTGAGTCCTCTAAAGGGGGCAACTGATAGTTTAATAATTGCTGTGCATAATTTTGAAAATTTACCTCACACCTTATGTAACGGTACCCCCAGGCACACAAGGGGTTAAACAGCCATTTAGAGGATATTCCCTTCCAGATACACAGGCAGCTACTGCAAGCACCAATCTCCCAAACAGGAAACACACGAATTCTCCAACTCCCGAACTGGAAACACACAAATTCTCCAACTCTCGAACTGGAACCATACAAATGCTGTAAACAGCCGAACAGGAAAACCATACGAACAGTTTACACTCCTGGCAGTCGAACTGTAACAGCATACAATCAAATCCGCC